TCTTCGTCAAATACAATGTAGAACCAAATTTAGAGAACATGAGCACTGTTAGAGAGCGGGTTTTGGGAGAAGGACTTGATTGAGGAAATAGCTCAAAATAGGTAATAAGGAACTTCAATTTGAGCATGGTTCAGAAGAAATCACCACAAGGGGCTTTTTATTCAAAATGCCCCAATGGCCTTATTCACTAACCCAAAGAAAAAGACAAGAGCGGAGTGGAAAAGGGGCATTGATGTTTCTTCCTCCTTCCCCCTCTATAGAGTTTTTCTATAGAACTCAATATACCTATCATTTATTGATGTATTGTATAATATCCTTGTGTAAGAGTCTATATGGTTAGAGTTTGTTTTTTAATGATCTAGGGGATTTAGGATGTTATAGTGTAAAATTCACTGCATTTCAGTTCCAACCATCCTCATTATGTCACTTGAATCCCATTATCTCGTATGAAGAATTCTGTTTTGCCCATAAAAATTGAAAAGTTATGATTAATCAATATAACATTGATAGTGTGTGCCAATATTATTGTTTCTAATAAAATGTCTCAATGTGTTATCGATACATTTCCTTGACATCGATGAAATTTTGATTCATATATCGATATGTATATATAAGAGAGAGAGAGAGAGAGAGAGAGAGAGAGAGAGAGAGAGAGCTTTCATTGAGGGACACCCTTGTAGGGCCCACCCCGCATTATATTTCACTAATCCAAACCATCTATTTTATAGATATTCATTCAAAGATTATCTGTACAAAAGATCACTTAAATCCAATATCATTTAACTACTCAATTAAATTATTGAAATTTAAGTATTTTCTTGAAGAACCGTGTTCATTGATTTTGTTGGTCTCAATTAGATGCCTTTTGCATGAATTTTTGCAAAGATGATATATGAATGAAGATGGAAAAAATAGATTTTTTTATCGTTGAAATTTTTTTTGTAGGGCACTCTAAAGGGTGTCCCTCAAATAAAATTATTTGACGAATTTCTCAATAAAAGAGAAATATATATATATATGTATGTATGCATGGATGTACAATGAAATAACATGGAGAGTTTTCTTTTATGTATAATTCATTACTCAAACAAAAATAATTTCTACTTAAAGCGTGATCAAATCTACTGGTCTAGCATCACATTCATTATCACTTATGATACATATGTATATATACTATAGAGGAGGGGATTTCTCACACACATACAACCAAGATGTCATAGAGGTTCGAAATTGAGACTTCTAATTTACAAATCAAGGTTTTTTTTCAATGGGCTAGACCCAGTTGACTTATGATCATCACAATTGACAACAATATATAGATAGAGAACAAAATCACAAATGAAATAAAATCTAACAATGTTTCACCTACTCTTACATATTCATCCAAGAACCAAATCATGATCTGCAATAAAATTTAAATAAACACATGCATGCAGTACAAAATACGAAAAGGCTTCGATGTTGCTTAAACTAAGTAAGAGTGGTCCTAGCGTTTAATTAGGACCACAATTTGCTCATATAAGGTCTTTTTCAACAGGATGCCTGAAATCCATATAGTGTTCATTTGATGTGATGTATTCAACTTGCAAATTTAATAGGTTGAAGTTGACATTGTAGCATTACAAAATGAGACGCGTTTATTGTACATAAAAATTCATATTTAATTTCATATTATTATTAAAACTTCTGTTAGTCAATTAGTGCTTATATATTATTGTTTAATACGACAATGTGGTATGGGATACTTTGATGACAGATTAAAGCTCCAAAAACAAAAAAATTTGGCAAGTATGTTGAAGCCCTAAACTTAAAAGATCTTAGGGCTTCATATTTCTTTTGATCCCGATCATCTAGCGGAAAGGATTTTGAACATCAAGTACATAAATTATTGTATGGTACTAAAACACGGTCAGATATAAGTAATGTTTATGCAAAAACAATATTCAACACTAGTCTCTCCACCTATCAAACTTTTTAGATTAGAAAGAAAATCACAAACAATCATACACTGCATTATTATTCATAAAATAATTTAACTTGAAAGCTCTTCAGAAGAGATGTGATTTACCAACTAAATATATTCTTTAAACTATGGTCCAGATAATAAATATATCCTCGGCTCGTAATGCCGAAAGGTTTACTTGATAATTAATTGGTGGTCCTATGCCATCCAAAAAGATTTAAAATAAAAATAATAATAATGGTGGTCCTGTATTTTTTTTTTCTTTTCAAAAAGTGGTCCTAAATAAATATAGTACCTTAATTATCTTTTAAAAAAAATACTAAATTAATCTCTACGATAATTATCTTGCAAATTCAAAATTCAGGATGATAATATATGAAAGCATTATTGGTCACATATCGACAGATCATATGTAATCGATCGTACCTTTTTTCTTTTTTTTTTAATTGCTAAGTCGCACGATCTGATTCATAGTTTGAACTATATCCTTTGTTTATGGGTGTCGATATCCATGGCCAATACGAATTGACTCATATCTAGCTAACTCCAGGATATGACATATGAGAACAGAATTATGATATGTTTGAACAATATTCATTCGACATTAATTTCATCTCAATAACGCAGCATGAAAAAACAAAACAAAAACAATTATTAAATTGTGTGTCTGATGAAGAGAGACATCTGCATATAGATGACAAGAATAATGCTTTGATCTCGTCATCATGGAATTACATGTCAATTGCAGAACTGAAAGACAAAGGGAAAAGATTAACCCCAAAAAAAAAAAAAAGGAAAAGATATACATGTTGATTATAGATGATATCATCCATGACTACACTTTAAAAAAAAAATATTGTATGTATATAAAGAGAGCTTTTAGTTAAGGGATTTTTCAAATAACTTTATTTGAGGGATATTTTTGTGGGACTTAGGGAGTTTCACTAAAACACCCAAAATGGGAGTTGAAATTATAAAAAAACCCCAAGCACTATTTAAACATATAAACACACCCAAAACCCATCATTACACACACTCAAAACCCATTTATAAACACACCCAAAAAGTTGACTTTGGGGTTAATTTTGAGTGTGTTTCTATGTTTAAATAGTGCTTGGGTTTTTTTATAAATACATGTCTAGGATTGGGTTTATTTATAAATTTGTATTATTTATATTGTATTTTTATAATCCGAATTGTCTATTTTTAGGTATTCTTTTAAAGATCATCCCTACAAAAAAAAAAAATCTCTTGAATATCCGAAATCATTTGACCACTCAATCGATGATTGTAATTTTAATGTTTTTCTTAAACCACCAGATTGCATTTCATTCGGATTTTGCTTTAAATCAGGATTAGTATGGCTTATGGGAATTGGCATGTATGTAAATATCGTTTTTCTTAAGATTTTTGTTTATGAGAAAACAATTTCATAACACAAATCTTTCTATCGTTAATTAACAGAATGCTCTCCATATTAACTTGAAACAACAGTGGTCTCTTTATGATCAGCTGGAACGTTCATCCAGTACTTACAAGGGACTGCACGCATGACATGACACACCAAGATCAAGCTTATGCCAAAAGGGCGATTCTGTGCACAGGGCAGGTTGGTTGCCCGCCCCGCTCAATTTTTTTTTAATTTTAAAATACCTACATATGTTATAAGCATAGCCTAAAATTAAAAAAAATTAAAAACAAATCCTACACACATGCTGTCCATCCAAGTTGGCCTCATATCTTCTCTCTCCTCCTCTTTTGGCTATGCCACATCAACTTGTTTCTCTCTCTCTTAGCTACACGACATCAACAACTTTTTTCTCCCTCGGTTTTCTATATATATATATATATATAATTATAGTTATAATTTAAATTGAGTATTCTAGGGTTTAATTAGGGATGAAGAGAGTTTGCCAATAATATCGATAATTAATGCATCAATAATTGAGGAATTTAAGAGTTCTAAGCATCGCATGGTTAAATTTTAGATTTAAAATAGTTTTGTTTTATTTTGCATTGCATTTAGTTTTAGTTTTAGTTTTTGCATCTGTGGAATTTTTATTTATGGATATAGATGCATTTGATGGTAAGGCTCATTACGTCCTCCTTGACTAGATGTATCTTTTTATGTTTATTAATGAAATTCATTCATACCGTCGAGTTTAGTATGTAAGTTTTACTCAGCTGGCTTTCGAATCCTAAAACTGCCACTGTTATGTCATATGTTTCTACACACTCAGAGCCCTACGTGTTCTATACACTGGATGACTAGTTTTTATTTCTTATACACATGTCATCTTCAAACTCTTGGGGTTAGCCCAAGTGGCGTGGGAGGGTGAGAAAATGTGATTAATTAGGTCTAAGTACGTCAAGGGTTTGATCATTCTAGTGCAATTAAAAAACTCACATGTCATCTTTTAACTAGACTTTTTGCTAATACACATTGAGTATATATGACTTTGCATAATATCCCCTTATCCATTCCCGTTGTAAATGCTACAATGGACAGCACACAAGAAAGTATAAATCTGAAACCACTACTATATTCCTTGTCAACTTCTGAAAATTTTAAACTGATAGCATTTTATTGACCAGGATGGAACAGAAAGGATCATTGCAATCATAATCATAATAATACTATAATTAAGGTTTCAATGTCCAAAAAATACCGAATCTAAAATGAAATTCTGAAACCGTCAACCTGAGATTTTTTGTCTTGTTGGCACATTTGCACCAATAAACTATTGTGATCTGGAAATGGGAACATTAACCAACTCGACGATTAATATTAAGGGAGTTTCACTAAAACACCCAAAATGGAGGTTGAAATTATAAAAAAACCCAACACCCAAAACACTTTATAAACACACCCAAAATCCATCATTACACACACTTAAAACCCATTTATAAACACACCCAAAAAGTTGACTTTGGGGTTGATTTTGGGTGTGTTTCTATGTTTAAATAGTGCTTGGGTTTTTTTATAAATACATGTCTAGGATTGGGTTTATTTATAAATTTGTATAATATTAATCCCTCGAAACTGGTAAGTGAAAAAACACTAAGCAAAAACATGGGTTCTGAAGGCCAGCCAAAGCTCCCTGTCTTAGATTTCTCTAAGGAAGCTCTGAAGCCTGGCACCAACTCATGGCTGTTGGCATGCAAAGATGTTCGACAAGCACTTGAAGAATTTGGCTGTTTCGTAGTATTGTATGACAAAATCTCTCCAGAATTTCGAAATGCGTTTTTGGTTGCTCTACAAGAATTATTTGATCTCCCTACTCAGACCAAAATGACAAACAAATATGAAAAGCCCTTAAATGGGTATGTTGGACAAATTCCCAAGCTTCCTCTCCATGAAAGCTTGGGCATTGACAATGCAACAAAGTTGGTAGAGACTCAAAAGTTCACAAAGCTCATGTGGCCTGGTGGAAATGATAAGTTCTGGTAATATTTTTAACCTTCCTTGTAATTTTTGAGTGTCCCCATACACAATACTAATTGTTTCCAATTGTCTTCACTTTTTTTATTTTTTTTGTTTTTTGGTGGTAATTAAGTGAAAGTGCATATTCGTTTGCAAAAGTGGCAGAGGAGTTGGACCAAATGGTGACTAGAATGATATTTGAGAGCTATGGGGTGGAGAAGTACTATGAATCTTATGTTGGGTCCATCTCCTATCTTCTTCGACTCTTGAAAAATAGATCACCCCAAGAAAATGAGCCTAGCCTTGGCTTCGTGGCTCATACTGACAAGAGCTTCACAACTATACTTTATCAGAACCATGTAAATGCTCTGGAGGTTGAAACAAGAAGCCATGAATGGATTAGGGTTGAGTTTCCACCTTCATCCTTCATAGTCATGGCCGGTGATGCACTAATGGTAGGTCCTCGATCGATTAATTTTGGTTTTTCTTTTCCTGGTGTGTTATAATGTCAGACTGTAAATCTGAACCATTGAACAATATTCTTGTTCAGATGTGCAGTCTAGTTTGATAAGATATTGCATAATCAATACCATCTTATTGTTTTTAATGAAATGGTCTGCTTGTTAGGCATGGAGCAATGACAGAATATTATCTCCCAACCATCGAGTTATTATGAGTGGGAATGAAACAAGATACTCCCTGGCACAATTTTCATTTAGCGACGGAGCGATACATGTGCCCGAAGAGCTTGCCGATGAAGAACACCCCTTACGCTACAAGTCGTTCGATCATCCTGGACTGCTACGTTTCTTTCGCAGTGATGATCGTTTTAACTCAAACAGTGCTATAAAAGCCTACTGTGGTGTTTGAAATGAACCATGTAGCTGTAGCTAATAAGACTGTTTGCTAGGCATGTGTGTGCTGTGTGTTAATTTCGAGGCTTGGTTTGTGGGTTGTTTAATTGTACTACAGTCATTTCTGTAATGCTCTGTTTCTGCTATGTTACCTTGTGGTTTACTGATCATGTGAAAATAAAAATTATAAATAGATTGTATCTCCTAAGAGCAATCTTCTTATGTTGTATGTTAGTTGTCGATTTACAGATCTTATTGTCTTTTCAAAGATATACTTTCATATACTTTCAATCGATTTTATACATCTAAATACCAACGGAAACCAAACGAATCTAAGCAGTTTGGTTTGATTTTTACATTGAAACAAATGTAATCTTGGTCTGAACCGAACCAAATCGCAATTATGCTACTAATTTGAGACCAAAATTCAAATCAATCAGAATATATACAGTGATATTTCATCGGTTCATCATTCTTCGATTTGAGACCTGAACTAAACCAAATCGTACCGTACTCACACCTATGGCTATTTCATAATCAGTGGTCCTCATAGACAGTGTGTAACATGCCAATCTAATGACAATAATAAAACGTTATCCTTTAAAATTATATAATTATAGAAATCATGGTTGATCTATCATTATTCAGATTTGGTGGAAATTTATTAACGTTGGAATTTATCACATGTACAACCTCTTACTGTTTATTGAAACAAGATCTTCAACCTCAAACTTCAACCTTACTGAAAACTAGTCCCTGGGGATATTAATACTATGGTGATGATAATATATGTAATATATCGAATTTGTCTCCTCTATTGGTTGCTTTCTGCATGTTGACCCCAAATGCAATATATTAACGTCACCCGTACAGTTTGTGACTATTTTATTCCCGTTAACTTTTAATGTACAAATATAACTGGGACATTATCAAAATTAAATTAATACAAATAGCAACCCAGAATAATTGATCAGGTCTAGAAATTTAAAGTCTCAATCAAGTACTAAAAGGGTTTGCAATTCAGTTTGTTAGAGAGTGTTCACTATGCATGAGGTCCTATGTTCAGATCACTTTAGGTTCTTTGATTTAGGTGAAACCCACTCTGGGTATAAGGGGTTTGTAGCTCGATTTGGTTAAAGAGAATTAACTACGCATCCGAGACCGTGTTCAAATCACTGTAGGTAATTCTCTGATCAATTTGAGTGAAACCACTTGGACTACAAGCCCTTGCATAAACAAATTGGGTTACATATACTGACTGGTATTGGCACAAATAGCACCAAGTAACTCTATCCAAATAGAAAACGATGCGATTGGCACCAAATTTATCTATCAAAAGATAGCACCAAGAACATATATTTTATGATTTTATGGTTAAATTAATATTTCTAAATAAGTTCTGATTGTCTCATTACGACATCACTGCATCAATCGAACCTCTATAAGTCACAACAATATCAGTGCATTAATTCCCCAAACTATCTACCTAGTTCAGAAAAGATTGCTGACATATAATGGGATCAGAAACTCAGCCTAAGCTTCCTGTTATAGATTTATCAAATGAAAACTTGAAGCCTGGAACAGAGGCATGGGTCTTGGCAAGCAAGCACGTCAAGTACGCACTAGAGGAGTATGGCTGCTTTGAAGCTGTTTTCCATAAAGTTCCTCTGCAACTCCACAACTCCATCTTTTCTGTGGTTGAAGATCTATTTGATCTTCCCATAGAAACTAAAAGGCAGCAAACCAGTGAGAGGCCTTACCACAGCTACTTTGGCCAATATTCATTCCTTCCTCTCTATGAATCCTTGGGAGTCGATAATCCAACAACTGTTGAAGGAGCTCAAGGCTTCACAAAAATTATGTGGCCTGCTGGAAATGACCATTTTTGGTATAGTTTGATTGGTTACTACTTTTTTACTATTACACTGAAATTTTTGAACACATTCGTATAACAAGTAATCTGATCAATGGTCAATATTCACGGTCTTGCAACATAAACATGTTATATACATTGCTCGACGACCGTCTGGCTGGCAAGAACATATTTCCATAAACACACACACACACACACACACATATATATATATATATTATATATGCTTAATATTGTATAACTCTTTGTTCTTTGAATTAGTGAAAGTGCTCAATCCTTCTCAAAGCTGGTGGCAGAGTTGGATCAAATGGTGACAAGAATGGTGTTTGATATTTATGGTGTGGAGAGGCTTTATGATTCTCACATGGCATCAACCACTTACCTTTTTAGATGCTTTAAATATAGAGAACAGAAGGAGAATGAAACCAATGTGGGGCTGCGTCCTCACAAAGACAAGACCTTCACATCCATACTTCATCAAAGTCAGGTGCATGGTTTGCAGGTTAGATCAAAGGATTGTCAGTGGATCGATGCGGAGCCTTCACCTTCATCTTTTCTAGTCATGGCAGGCGATGCATTCATGGTAGGTCATTTTCTAAATTTCAAGCAGTAAAGGGTGATGGATAGAGCTCTTATTTTTTTTTTTTTTAATTTCGTTTTATTAATTTTGTTTTTACTTGGTAAACCCCAATTATATATATGCCTGAATTTTTTTCTTTCTTTATTTCCACTTGTTAGGCATGGAGCAATGACAGAGTACGCTCTTGTGACCACCAAGTCATCATGAAAGAGAACAAAACCAGATATTCCCTGGGACTATTCTCTTTCAACAGTGGGATTCTAGAAGTACCTGAAGAGCTAACAGATGATCAACATCCCTTGCTGTATAAGCCATTTGATCATTTCGGTTTCCTTCGTTTCGATCAAACACCAGAGGCAAAGAAATCAGAGTGTCCTATCAAAGCCTACTGTGGTGTTTGAGATCTCTTTTGATTATGAGGGACCACTGTTATCTTACTATTGCATAATAACTCCATTTGGAATGCTACCTAGCATAATCCTTATGTATATCAAAGTATGTGTGGGTTTCCTGCTACGTCTCTAGTGCATGTAATGTTGTTCTGTGAAGGTTGTGAATCTTAGTTTCTTTCTTGATTTGCTTTCTATTGAATAAATAAAGTTAAGGTGACATATTATAACTCAAATAGAATTACGGTTATGAATAATTCAGTATTTTCTATTCTTCTCACAAGGAGGTATTTATAGTGATACAAATACAAGCCTATCTTGAAAAGGAAAAAGAAAATAAATACAATATGGTATTCCTATAATTACACATAAATACAAAATCAATTACAATAAAGAATCATTGAATTGATTCACGCCAATATCCCCATTCAAAATGGTGCATAAATGTTGCAGATGCCCAGCTTGACAAGTGAATTAGTAAAGTCTTCATTTGATACGGCCTTGGTCAACATATTAGCCATTTGTTCAGTAGTCTTAACATACAGAACTGCAATAATCTTCTCTTTCAATTTCTCATAAATAAAGTTCCGATCAATTTTCACATGTTTTGTTCTATCATGTTGAACTGGATTTTTTGCAATCTTGATTGCTGACTGATTATCACAATACAACGTCATAGAACTCTCAGTAGGAAAACCCAGCACCCCCATAATCCTTTTCAACCATAGCAATTCACAAATACCTTTCACCATAGCTCGATACTCAGCTTATGCACTAGACAAATATACAACTTTTTTCTTTTTACTCCTCCACGTAACTAGATTACCTCCTACAAATGTAAAATAACCAGATGTAGATCTCCTTCTATCCTTCTTTGCTGCCCAATTTGAGTCTGTATATCCCATACCGTCTACATGCCCATGCTTGAAAAACATTAGACCATTTCCTGGTGCAGACTTCAAATACCTTAAAATTCGTACTACCACATCCATATGTCGTATACTTGGATTATGCATGAATCTACTTACAACACTTACTGCATATGCAATATCAAGTTTGGTGTGAGATAAATAAATCAAACGACCAACCAATCTTTCATATCATCCCTTATCAGTCAAACTTGATCTGGACATTCTTTCAAACCATGATTTTGTTCAATATGAGTACCAATGGGCTCATATCTAACCCTCTCTCTCTCTCTTTCTCTCAAAATTTATCAAGACACCCAACCCCAAAACCCATCTCCCTCCTCTTCCGGAGAATCCAGTCGAACCACCACTGTCACCTTCACATCACCAAAAAAATCAGCCCCACGACTCACATAGGCCTCGATTTCTATATAGCCATCCTTTACGACGTTCCTAGATTCAACCTCCACCCTAAATTCATATCTGCATTTTGAATTCTGTTAGGAATGAATTTTGATTTTGTTTCTCTTTGAATTTGGATGGGATCAATCCAACTATGGGGGTTGGGTTCTTTTATGTGTGTGCATCTATGGAGAGAGATGGAAAGAGACACACATAGAGAAAGGAAGAGAGAGAGAGAGAGAGAGAGAGAGAGAGAGGTTTTCTTAAACTTTGAGCTAGCTTTGGAATCAAGGTAAGAGTTTCTTGTGAAGGGGAATGGTGTGGGGCTGAGGGAGAAGTCGAGGGACAGGACAGGTAGGTGTGGCAATTTCGGGCACAACTCGTTACACGACTCGAAAACCTTACGAGAATTTAGTGAGTTCAACCCGCACGATTAAAATTCTGGTAATTTTCGGGTCAACCCGAATTTCGAGTCAACCCGCTAAAATACCTATGTAATTTGCAAACTCGCTAAAATACCAGTATAACCCGCCAACCCACTAATCCGTTTATTTGTTTATTCTTCATTTTTCTAATTTTTTTTAATGTCTTTTAGTTGCTACCACTTAGTGGATTAACTCGACACGAACTGAAACACGCACAAGAACTTAACAGGTCAACCTGTGCATGACACATTTATTAAACAGGTCAGGTTTAGGTTGAGCATTCCTGACACGTATATAATCTTGACACGACACGACACAACCCATTGCCAGCCCTAGGGACAGGGGTGGGTGGGTTTGTTTTAATTTTTTTTTAATTTTAAATTATATTATTGTTTTAAATATTTGATTTTAAGGTTTTTAAATAATTTAAGAAATCAAGATTTTTTTTTATTAGTTTTTTAGCCCATGTGGCGTCCACATAAAAATAAAAACCTAACATATATTTGACACATAAGCATTTAATGGAAAAACTGACTCATTCACTAACGAATGATGCATTTTGAGAGGTTCTATAAAGTTGGAATACTGGTCAAACGGGTCTTTAAAGGTTGGGTATGAGCTTGTAATGGCCCCTATAGGTTGGGGGGTTTACTGTAGTTAATCCTAAAGTTTTTTAGGGACTGGTTGGTTAGTGGGTGAGTCCCACAGTATATATGTCAGCATCTAACGTTTGACCAAGCAGTGAACTTAACGGAAAGTTTAAATTGGTTAAATTTGAAAATCATGGAGTGTAAAATGATGAAATTGAAATTCAAGGCCCATATTGAGAATGACCTCAAACTTTCAGGGCTCTAGTGATAGCCCAAAATTCTAAATGTTTAATAGCTGGCCACCTTGTCTGACAGCTTCTTCTTCATCTTCTTCTCCATGCCTTCTTCAAGGTAAAAACTCTGTCATCATTCCCAAGTCACTCACATGCACTTATATTGCTGCTTCCTTAATTTTCTGAGCAGTTGCTGTGTTGTTTTTGCTCAATCTCATTGAATCTATGTTTAATTTTGGTTCTTATGATCCCTAGCTTTTCATTTGGAGCCCCAAAACTTAAACCTGTTGAATTCTCAATTATTTTTAATTCTTTGCATTCTACATATCTAGGACTGGTAGATGGATGCTTAATTTGAATTATTGTCCACCATCTTGACCTAGCATTTGTATATACTCTAGATTTCCCAGTGTTCAATTACCCTTAGTGAGTAGATCATGATTCATGTGTTGGACTTCACTGATTAGATATGAATATTAATAATTAGAGATGATTAGGATTGGCACATTTCGAATTCAATAATGAATAAATAAATTTTTAGTGTTGAATTACTAACCAATTTTGGATTAGTATATATGTTGACTTTACCAGCACACAATTATAAGATACCATTTTCCAACTTGTCCATGTAAAACAAGCACCAGCAACTTAGATTTTATCATTTTATAGCTGAATTTGTGTAAGCTTAGTATGCCCAATTGTCTCATTAGCTAATAGTGATTTCTGACAGGATGGGATCAGAGACTCAGGCAAAGGTTCCTGTGGTGGATTTATCAAGTGAAGACTTGAAGCCTGGAACAGAGGGATGGCTCTTGGCGTGCAAATAAGTCAAGTATGCCCTAGAAGAGTATGGCTGCTTTGAAGTTGTTTATCATAAAGTTCCTTTGGAACTTCTCAACTCCATTTTTTCAGTGCTTGAAGATCTGTTTGATCTTCCACTAGAAACTAAAATGCAGAAGACCAGTGATAAGCCTTACCACAGTTATATCGGCCAACGTTCCTTCATTCCACTCTATGAATCCTTGGCCGTGGATAATCCAACAACTCTAGAAGGAGCTCAAGACTTCACAACAGTCATGTGGCCTGCAGGAAATGACTCTTTTTGGTATACTTTGAAATTGGTAACTCATTTTAAATTTGTATTTGTGTTGAGAAATCCACATTCAGATATGAATTAATTTGGTAAATGGTCTAGTTCACAGTCTAACAACATAACAGTCTAACGGTAAAGCAATTCCGCCCCACACAAACACATGTATATTGTGCCTAACATGATGTAACTCTTTGTTGTTTGAATTAGTGAAAGTGCTCATTCCTACTCCAAGCTGGTGGCAGAATTGGATCGAATGGTGACAAGAATGGTGTTTGACATTTATGGCGTGGAGAGGCTATATGACTCTCACATGGCATCAACCACATACCTGCTTAGATGCACTAAATATAGAACACAGAAGATGAATGAGACTAATTTGGGAGCGGCTGCTCACACAGACAAGAATTTTACATCCATTCTTCATGAAAATCAGGTCAATGGTTTGCAGATAAAAACAAAGGATGGTCAGTGGATTGATGTGGATCTTTCACCTTCAACTTTTCTATTCATGGCAGGTGATCCATTCGTGGTACGTCACTTTCACATTTTATGTAATTCTAGCTTGGATTGTTATCAGTCCTTCCATAATTTTCAGATAAACTTAAGATATTATTGACTTAAAGGGTTCAAATTTGTGCCAAAAGAATTAGAAGGCCCATTTGGATGGAGTGATTGTAAATCTAAATCTAAGGTTTTAGATGCCATTATAAGGGAAAATTGTAAAATTACACTACTATAACTCATGTATGCCTAGATTTGAAGTAATATGGAAATGAAAGAAAAAAACAAATGGATTCCAAATCATCTAGTTATTTCAAATGCATTCCATCTAATGTTTTATAGTTTTTGTTTAGCAAATTTAGCCCTCTAGTAAAATCCAAATTCTTTCTTTCAAATGCCTCCGTTCAAACGGAGCCGACTTATGAAATGACACAGTTGTGTTTGTCACAGATGCTGTATAATTAGTTTTGTATAAAAATAATAAGCTTCAATTTCAATCCCAATTATATGCCTCAATGACTCTTTTGCTTTTTCTCTTTTTTATTTCTTTGTTGTAGGCATGGAGTAACGACAGAGTGCGCTCTTGTGAACACCAAGTCATCATGAAAGAGAACAAAACCAGGTATTCCCTGGCATTCTTCTCCTGGCAAAGTGGGATTTTGCAAGTACCTGAAGAGCTTGTTGATGACAATCACCCCTTGATGTATAAGCCATTTGATCATCTCGATTTCGTCCGTTTACAACAATCCGGGGCGACAAAGAAATGTGAAAATGCTATCAAAGCTTACTGTGGTCTCTAAGATATATCTCTTTTGATCTAGAGGGACCATGGCATAATAATATTCCATAGATTAATGCCGCCTAGCGTAGTGTTTATGTATCAAAGTATGTATATGTGGGCTCCTTGCTACTTCTCTGCTACATTGTAATGTTGTGCTTTGAAGGTTGTTGATCGCAGTTCTTCTCTCCTTATGCTGAATAAATGAACAAAATTAAAGTGTAGCTCTTTCTAAGCCGAGTTGTACTCATGGGTTCTGATAATGAGGCATTAAAGTTTATGGAACATTGGGATCGAAGGCATTAATAAAATGCTTGGACGTTTTGCTTTGGCTCTTAATAAATTCCATGTATGTGGAATAACTAGATTTATTTGGCTAACATGTGTTTGGAATAGCTAGAGTCGTCATTATTTAAAGGGTAATGCTAGAGAGACCATCTTTTTTGTACCACAATTGTATACCATCTGACGTGGCATGCCAAATCATTTAATATAGTTACATATATTTTAAATTTTTATTCTCCCCTAATTAAAGCACAAAAGTCATTAAATATATCTAAATCTATTTTATTATCCCCTAATTACAGCACAATTACCGATAGGAGTCTTTCTATCTTCACTCTCTCTTTTTCCTCTCCCTACACTATCTTCTCCACAACAATTTTATGATTGCCGGATTTTTCATGGGTGTTAAACACATAATCAACCCCTTTCCTCATGTTGGCTGCCATTTTTTGTTCTCTGTCTCTTACGGCCTGCAACTAGTGGTCAATTTTGCAGCCAAAAAAAAAAAAACTAGTCCCTAAAATGTGGTGGAAAAAGCTACTAATCTGATAAAAAAAAACTTTATATCTTCATGGACTCCCTCAGAAATCTAACTATACTATTCTTGTAAATCTGAAATAATATAATATTTAGAATCAAAACTCAACTACCTTTCCTTGTTGTATGAAAAGGGTGAGAGGGAGGAGGAAGAAGAGGAAAGATTATAAATAAATAAATAAATAAATCTTATGGGATCAGTGCATTAATTAGGGGAGAATGAAAATTTAAAAGGGAGTTTCACTAAAACACCCAAAATGGGGGTTGAAATTATAAAAAAACCCAAGCACTATTTAAACATATAAACACACCCAAAACCCATCATTACACACACTCAAAACCCATTTATAAATACACCCAAAAAGTTGACTTTGGGGTTAATTTTGGGTGTGTTTCTATGTTTAAATAGTGCTTGGGTTTTTTTATAAATACATGTCTAGGATTGGGTTTATTTATAAATTGTATTAAATGATTTGGCATGCCACATCATCTTCCACATGAGATGGTATACAATTGTGGTACAAAAAGATGGTCTCCCTAGCATTACCCTTATTTAAATGGGGCTTAATGTATTTGGATTAATGGGGTTAATTAATTTAGGTGTTAGTTCAATATATCGGATGAGAGATTAAGTCTTTAAATACTGTATGTTCAGACATCTCAAGGCAGTTATTGAAACTTGAAATTGAAATTAAAGAGTGTTTTCTCATCTTTTGCTCATAATCTGGGTATTCTTAGAATCAACAAGTTTGAGTGTTTTATCTTATCTTTTGTGCCTAGTTCCAGGTATTCTTAAACTAAATGGGGCTTCGTGATTTGTGTTTTGTGTTCCCAAAAACCCTTGCTCGAGCACCGTTGCATTAGTTGGTATCAAAGCAGGATTCAGTTGCAAGACTGAAATCCTGGTGGAGGCTTTGCCCGTCATCTCAGTTTAGCGTCAAAATTAACTTTTTTCACGTATAACGAATTCCTTGTACAATGGCCCGTCATCTCATTAAAAAATGATCAACATATATGTTGGGGTTGTTGGCCTCAAGCCATGATTTGCAGTAAATTTAATCTCATTTGGAAAAAATGATTCGAGAATCTTTTGTGACAAAACCTCACACTATTGAAAATAAATAGTTAAGTTTGAGTCAACTTTATCGGGGTCACATTTATATATAACAATCAATATTCTAAGCATGATCTTAATCAGAGAAGATTAAACCTGAATTTGTTTCCTTTTCAATTACAATAGTCCACTTTCATTCATTGATAGCTCTAACCTTTAAAAATAGATATCTCTAATATAAAATGACAACTGAAAAAGAGGAGAGGTTACCAAGAAGGCCTTTAGCCTACGCTTAGTTCCTCCTCGAAGGCATGCATATGACTTTTGCAACATGTTATTTTAAAAAGGGGTTCTTAGATATAGATTTATTTTCTTAAGAGAAAAAATATATAGATCCATTTTCGTTATTGCACATTGGATGCAGTCCACATCCTTCCTCTTACCAATTGAGGTCCTCCCAACCAACTTTGGGGCCAGGTAAGCAGACCTTGTAGCCACTATATTTGATATATCAGTTATTTACATTAACACTCTCTACGGGTTTTCGATGTTTTCAAGAAAATTCCTAAGGTTTCAAAAATTATACAAACGCCCCTAGAGGTTTCAAAGTTTTTGACAAACCCCTTTTCATTGATTGTTCATTCAAAAATTGATGATTTTGTATTAAAAAAGCCTAGGCAAATGAAAAAATTAATCTCGATATGTGTATGTGCAAGCTAATCTCAAAGGCTAATTTTGTCATTTTGAAGAAATTTCTCATATAAAATTATCAATCTTTGGACTAAAACTCAACGGCAAGGGTTTGATGACATGGATTCAAAACTTTTTAAATTCGATATTCATCTATTGCAACATACGTACACATGGAAATTATATTATTAATCTTTGTTTGTCAGCGTGACATATCACATCCCCTTACATTTCAATCGTCTAAATTGTATAAATAGGCCAATTAAGTCGAGAAAGCTCATCTAAAACTCAAGGCAAAACAGCTTCTTTCTCCCTCTCTATCAATCAAACCAGCATATCACAATGGGCTCAGAAACCCCTCTCAGACTTCCCGTCATAGATTTCTCCAACCAAAGCCTAACTCCAGGCACCACAGAGTGGAACACAGTGAGAGCTCAAGTCCACAATGCACTCGAAGAGTATGGTTGCTTCGAGGCATTGTTCACCAAAGTCCCTTCACACATTCGAAAGTCCATATTTCAATCAATTGAAGAGCTTCTCGACCTCCCTTTGCAAACCAAATTAAAAATTGTTTCGAAAAAACCTTTCCGTGGCTATGCCGGGCAGTCACCCATGATGCCACTATATGAGAGCATGCCGATTGATGGTGCCAACGTCTATGAACAAGTTCAAAGCTTGGCAAACACCTTGTGGCCTCAGGGAAACCCAAGCTTCTGGTTCATAACACATTAACTCTTCCTCCTAATTAATAATTTCGTAGTCGTATATGCGTATTAATTTCATAGGGAAAATGTTATGATCTTATGAGACAATCTAACATGTTATGTTACTAGGATGTCTACCATATATAATTCAAATTAGCAATACGCCAAAACAATACATATCAGATTTCTGGTATGAGAACATTAGCGTTAATTTCATATTCTAATATTTGGTGTTCATAACTTTTATATTTTTGTGGCAGCAAAACTATACAATCCTTCACGGAGAAAGTTTCGGAATTGGATCAGATCATCAGGAGGATGATTCTGGAGAGCTTGGGCCTTGAGAAGTACTTGGAGGAACACCTAAACTCGACCAACTATCTTCTTCGAGTGATGAAATATAAGGTGCCTCAAACCAACGAGACTAAGTTAGGGATACCCCCTCACACAGACAAGAACATTGTCACCATTTTGTACCAAAACCAAGTCGATGGGTTAGAAGTGCAAACCAAAGATGGAAAATGGATCAATGTCAAGCCTTCATCAGACTCTTTCATCGTCTTGATCGGCGAGTCACTCCACGTGAGTTGCTTCGCTTCCTTCCGATTCGATTTACATGCACATTAAATCCTTTAGAAATTAACGTTCATATTATGGTGATGTTGTAGGCATGGACAAATGGTAGGCTGTATTCTCCCATTCATAGGGTTATGATGAATGGAAATGAGGCTAGGTACTCAACTGGATTGTTCTCCGCCCCTAAGGAAGGCTACATAATAAAAGCCCCAAACGAGGTTGTGGATGAAGAGCACCCTTTGCTTTTTAAGCCCTATGAACATGCTCAATTTACGGCGTTCTGTAATTCAGAGGCCGGCCGGAGAGATCTCTTTCCATTGAAGACTTTCTGTGGTGTCCAAGACTTGACCTTGTCTACTTAGCTTGGCAAATTACAATTTCAATACATCTATCTTTGTATAATAAGTGGCAATATTGTAATAATGCATCTATTGTATTGACTATCTTTGTATAATAAGTGGCAACACTGTAATAATGCATCTATTGTATTATGTTATCTATGGTATGGTTGACTATCAACTCTCCTCTTACCATTTTCTTTGTGGCCATGGGCCACTCTGTCTTCTCCAGTATTGAGCTTTCACTCACACTATTGGAAATAAATAGTTATGTGTCACGTATATGGACCATCAATATTCTAGGCATATGGTCCTAATCAGAGTAGATTATATCTGAATATGTTTCCATTTCATTTGCAGTATATATATTGTCCACGCTCATCCATTGATAGCTCTAACATTTAACAATGTATATCTCTAACATAAAAATGACAACTAAGTCAACGGGGTATAGCCCAATGAAAAAGAGTCTTGACTTGTCGACTGGAGGTTCGAACCCTCATAGCACTTTGGTAGTGTGTGTGAGTGAGAAATCCCCCTCCCCCTCTAGTTTATACTATCACTTATACTTTAAAAAAATTGGCAACTAAAAATAAAAAATAGAGAGATTGCCAAGCGGGTTAGCCTACGCTTAGTTCCTCCCTTTGCTCAAAGGCATGAATCTTTTTGCAGTTGTTTGTAGCATTATGTTTTTAAGAAGTGATGATTGTACGGTTCTTCCATCTTGAATTTTTATACGTATCTTTAGCTATAATATTATCAATTATATAAATAGCCCTAGTCAACTCTTCAAAACTCAACTCAAAGCAGCTTCCTCTTCCATTTCTATCAACCAAAACCAGCATATCACTATGGGCTCATCAGAAACACCTCTCAAGCTTCCCATCACAGATTTTTCCAAGCAAGCCTTCACTCTAGGCTCCAAAGAGTGGGAAACAGTGAGAACCCAAGTCCACAATGCACTGGAAGAGTATGGTTGCTTCGAGGCCTTGCTTTACAAAGTCCCTCAACACATTCGAAAGTCCATATTTCAATCAATGGAAGAACTTTTCAACCTCCCTTTAAAAACCAAAATGCAGAATGTTTCCAAAAAAACCCTACCTTGGCTATGTTGGCCACCCCATGGTGGCACTATATATGAGAGCATCGGGGTTGATGATGTCAACGTCTATGAACAAGTTCAAAGCTTGATAAACATCTTGTGGCCTCAAGGAAACCCAAGCTTCTGGTTCCTAAACCATTCAAATTAACAATTTCTTAGTCATACATTCGTATTAATTTCATAGGAAATATTTTTCATTTATCATATAATTTGACATGTTATGTTACTTTCAATCATTAATCAGGCTTAGTGTATAGGTTAAATCCAAACCAATCAAATAATCAACCCGCCATGGACAAGAAATCAGTCGGCTGAGAAGAAAGAAAAGAGGAAGAGAGGAAGAAGTAGGCAAAATAATAGAGAAAGAGGAGGAGGAAAAAGAATAAAAAAGAGAGGGGGAGATATTAAACAAACGGGGAGAGAGAGAGAGAGAGAGAGAGAGAGAGAATAAAAAAGAGAGAGGGGGAGATATTCAACATTACTATCCATTCCTTGTTTCTCCCCTCTTTCTCTTTCTTCTCTCTTCTTCCGATTTACAGGTTCACATCCAGATCTGCAAGTGCAACAAAGTTTTAGTGTTTATGCCTCTGTTTAAATTTTTTGGATATGCTATTGCTACGAATTGTACTTTTGTTGTGTTTCTGCTTCCCACAGTTTCAGTTCTAATTCCCACTTGGTTGTCACTATATTAATTAGCATACGGAAAAAAAAAAAATGGCTCTCATTGTTCATATAGATCTCCCATACCGAAAAAAAAAAAAAAAAAAATTAGCACACCCTCAGAAAAATTTCTGATTCCGCCGTTGCCTACAAATTTTATGGAATGACAAAATTAGAACACATTAAGAGTTGGGGGACCAAAATGAAATTCGGGTATAAGTTTATGAACCATTACAGTTTAAAGCCCAAAAAAAAAAAACAAAGAAATTAACGTTCATATTTTGGTGATGTTGTAGGCATGGACAAATGGTAGACTGCATTCTCCATATCATAGATTGATGATGAGTGGAAATGAGGCTAGGTACTCAACTGGATTGTTCTCTATCCCTAAAGAAGGCTACATAATAAAAGCCCCAGAGGAGGTTGTGGATGAAGAGCACCCTTTGCTCTTTAAGCCCTTTGATCATGTTCAATTTCTTGGGTTCTATTATTCAGAGGCTGGGCAGAGAGCTCACTCTGCTTTGAAGACTTATTGTGGTGTCCAAGACTTTGCCTTTTCTAATTAGCAAATTGCAATTTCAATCAGTCTCTTTCTTTGTGCAATATGTGTTCTCAAAAAAAAAAATGTGGGAGTATGTAATAATGTATATCTATTGTATTATTTTATCTATGGTTGATCTATCTGTACTGTTGGCTTTTAGCACAATTTTGTTTTTCCACAATCTATATATTTAAAAATAATAAGAAACTATATTCTCAAAATAATAATAATAATAATAATAATAATAATAATAAAAAAGACGCCGTTGCCGGGGATCGAACCCGGGTCGTCCGCGTGACAGGCGGAAATACTTCCCACTAGGGGGGGGCACGTG